CCCCAAAACCCCAAAACCCCAAAACCCCAAAACCCCAATAATTTACACAAATATTGAAATGAGTACAGTTTTTGATAAAACCCAGCTGAGTCGGGACTACTCGAGGAGTCTGCATCCGTCACCGAGGGAGCGTCAGCCACTGACGAAGTACCCATATTCGGAGGAACTTGGTAAGCATTGATGAGGTGACTAGTAGAGGAAAGAGAGAAGGTACAACGACTAGAGAACAGACTTGAATCTGCTCATGAATTAATCCATTCACTAAGACTTGGATACTACAAAGAACTCAATAGTCTGAGACAACTATTGGATAAATAAACATCAAGAGCGAGAAAACTTTGAATATCTTGAGATCAGATTTTTCACACCCACAGATGGGCTTGATGACCGAGTTAGTAAGTTTCTAAAAATTTATTTCCTAGTTGATTTACTAAATACAAAGATTATCGAAATCAAGGACAAATATGAAGAGCATATCCATCTTCTAGGAGAGAAATATGAATTCTTAGAGAAACAGATAGAAGCATATAACAAGATAGATCCAAATTTGATCAGTATAACTGATCCATTTTCGGCAGACATGCTTATCATGAAAATGACTCTTGTAGAGAAGAGGCCGAGACATATCTGGAATCTCATTGAAAAACACTATGGCAAGAATTTCTTCAGAAATACAGCTCACTTCGTGTATGGACTCAGTGAAAAAGATGTGGATGAGATATTCAGAGAACAAGAGAAGAATCTGAATGAATACAAGACTAAAACTCTAGCCAAGATGTCTCAACTATGAGAAGAAAGTGAGATTGAGATTGCGAGACTTAGGAAAGAACTAGATGACAAAAACCAGAAACACTCCACTCTTGAGGCAAAATATTTCCAAGGCCTGAAAGAATCCAGGAAAGATGCTAAAGAACAAATACGTACTGAATATGAAGAGCTTTATAATTGAAAATTTCAAATGTTCGATATTGAAAGACAAGAGATGTGAGATGAAATGAAGGAACTTAAGAATACGATCAGAAGGCTAGGTAGTGGAATACTTCCTCAAGAATCTGATGAGGGTGAATCTCCAGTTAAATCTCCCACTAAAGCTAAGAATCAAGTAGATGAGGTTAATCCGACGAAAATTACTAAATACAAATCAATGATTCAAGAGAAATTTGAACAACTGGCTTATGAAAATTCAAAGAATATTTCCAGAATTTTTGAGCTTGAAAAGGAAGCTGAGCTTGTAGAAGCTCATAACAAGTCTTTGTCATTCGAGAACGAGAGTCTGAAGCAAGAATGAGACCGTCTCAAGACTGATATAAAGTTCTTTGAGATGAAAGAGAAAGGTTTACGTGACCAGATTGCAGAACTTGATAAAGAAAACGACATTCTTGAAGGTAAACTCATTAAGATTGCACTTAACAAGCTCAATCCTGATGAATTACTGAGATTTAAGAATAAGCTCGAGTCAGCAGGAATCAAGTTTGAGGGTAAAGCTCAGGATACCTACGTTAAGCTCACCAAGAAAAGCCAGCAAACTTTTGAACATGTAGACAATGAAGCTAATAAGAGGAGAGATAATATTTATCTGGAAGATTATAAGCCAAAAAGTATTCAGACAAATATATCAGGAACTTATGGTGATCTCATCAGAGTCAACTCTGAAGCAAGCCCCAATCACTTCAGTATGGAGAAGGAAAATCAGTGAGCCCCAAAAGTTAATTCCTATGGAGTCCAGACTGACATCGAGATTCTTCCATCAGATGAGATCGCTGGAAGTATTTTGAATAGCTTCGATAGAGCATTTAAAGCAGGAAATGATTTTTCAGAAATTATTGAGGAGTTTTCACATTCCCAGAATACCTTATACAAGAAGCATAGTCATCACTCCATAGTACCTATGAATAACCAAGAAGTTCAAACTGACTGATTTGACTTATTGAGACAAGGAATAGACACCAAAAAGCCTCATTCAGATGCTTTTGTACAGACAGATGAAGAAGAGCCTGGATCTCAAGAAAATTATAAGCTACAAGCTGATTCAGATCTATTTTCAATAGGAGATTTGAGTAAGTCAATCATTTATACCCTAGGAAGTCAAATAAATCTGACTGAAGCAATGACAAGTAAGGATTTTTAAGGCCAAACCAATCTTAGATAATTATGAAATTCGATATCTTCTTATTTGAAAACCTCTATGATGAATCTAATTTCAATTAAGCTTGCAACAAATCTAAAGTCTCAGATTCCTCAGCTCAAAAACTTGGGCCAATGTCACAAATCTTTGATGGGCTTCAAAGCGTAGTGCGATTGATAGAGTCAGAGAACCTCAACACACAGAAGCCTCTGCTGAAGTCTACATTATCAGACTTCAAAATAAGCATCATTAGGTTGATCGACACTATTCTCAATTTAAAGCGGAAGGTATTTTCTTCTCACCTTGTTTAGATCAAAAAGCTAGGGAATGAGAAATAAGAAGCTCAAGACTCCTGAGATCAAGGTGAACTCTTACAACCTCACCACTGTACAGAAAATACTCGAGAATCAGTTCAATGTCAGAACTGTTGGAGTGCAGACAAATAATATAGAGTTTCATGAAGCAAAGAGGCCTCAATCTGTTATTTCAAAGAAGATAGTTAGCAACAAGAGGTCTCTTCTATCTACATCACCTAGCTTTAAGATCAATAAGCCGTGTAGTTCACTATTAAGCTCCTTGAATTCATGTAGGATGAAGCAACAAAAATAGATTCAGTGTTTTCAGTGAGAAAAGTGATCTTCAACTAAGTGTTTTAAATGATAGATCAGGGCTAAATACCTCAAAACTACTATCTATAGTTAGTTGTACAAAGGACAAAAGGTCTCGACACCGCTCCAAGTTTGTTAAGGAGTCTAGGAGGAAATTGAGCAGGTCAATTTTGAGAAAGACCATGAAGTCATAATACCTAAAGTGCTAATTTCAATATCATTTGTAACAATCGGGGTTTTGGGGTTTTGGGGTTTTGGGG